AGGGTGCCTCCCGAGGCACGGTGCCGGGGGGGGGAGGGACCGTGAGGAACACGAGAGGGGAGGAGCAACAAGGGCAGAGAAGGAGTGCCGACCGAGCCAAGAGAGAGAGAGAGAGAGAGAACGGGATGAGGAAGGAAGAAAATCTGGAGCAGTGTGGGGGGAAGGGGCGGGGGAACGGATTTCCCCACCAGCGAACACTCGTCCGCAAGTCTGCCGAAAATCAAGGGGACGCTGGATGAAGGGCTGAAGCAGCATCAGCATCAGCAACAGGATGATGACGATGATGATGATGATGATGATGAGGAGGAGGAGGAGGAATGAATGAAATAATTCGCCGGCCCAACGGGCCAGGGCGTGCTAAGATCTCCAGTAACTGGTTAACAGTATTAACAGTATTTCTAGTTCGCGCGCGCGGGGCGGCCCCTGGGGGTCCCCCGGCGAAAAGTACCCCGACCAACGCCCGGTCGCCGCCCGACCGCCGCCCGACCGCCGCCCGACCAAGTCTACTCAGAGATGGTTTTCCTTCTGGGTGCGGCCTCTCAGGCTCCCCAGAGCGCGCTCAGAGTGCCCCAAGAGGCCCCCAAGACTGCCCAAGAGGCCCCCGAGACGCCCAAAGAGCGCTCGAAGACGCCGAAGATGACCCCAAGACGGCCCAAAAGGCCCCCAAGACAGCCCAAGAGGCCTCCAAGACGCCCCAAGAGCCTTCCAAGAGGCCTCCGAAGAGAGCCCCAAGAGGCCAAAATCGTTGATTTTCATTGGTTTTTTCGATGTTTTTTGTGTTCTGGCTTTTTCGGCTTCCGGACGCTCCAAGACGGCCCAAGAGGCCCCCAAGACCGCTCCAAGACGGCCCACGAAGCTCCCAAGACGGCGCCGAAACGACCCAAGAGAGCCCTCAAGACGGCCCAAGTGCCGCCCAAGACGGACCAAGAGGCCCCAAGACGGGCCCAAGAGGGACTCAGGAGGGATACCGAGAACTCAAAAATGGAGCCCTCCGTCCCAGAAGGCGCCCAGGAGGTCCCAAAGAGGCCCCAAGAGGCCTCCAAGAGGCCCCAAGATGTCGCCAAGAGGCCCCAGGAGACTCCCAGGAGGCCCAAAAGAAGCCCCAGAAGGCTTCAAACATGTCTCCCAGGCGCCCCCGAACGGCCTCTCAACAGACCCCAAGAGGCCCCCCAAAGAAGCATCTTGACGACGACTCTATTTCGCCCCATCGAGAGACGACCCCCAGGGAACTGCTTCACCATCAAAACTCCCCACGCAACGCGTCCGAACGACACCCGCCCCCAAGAGCGCAACATGGGCAACGAACACACAGACAAAAACCAGCGATGCCATATCACGGGCCGGCGGAATGAGCGAAGCGATTCAATAACTCATGGAATTCTGTCCTGCCCTCTGCTTGACTGTCATGCGACTTAAATCTGATAAACATCGAGAGAGCAAGGGCTCTGAGTCGGGTTGCTTGTGCATCCCCCGTTACCACGACAAGAGCGACCAACGCGCTCCGCCAGAGCGGCACAGGCCGGCCTGCGCGCGCGCTGTTCGAACGCCTTCCCGAGCCCTGGAAGCCCTAGAAGGGCTAAAAACAGAACCGAAGAGCCCCGACAGGGGGCTCATGGCTTTTTGGGGGCTGGAGGTTTACACCTGCGCTGCTACTGTTTCCGTGCTGGTTGCTGTCACCGACTACTTGTTCCTGAATCCCACAATGTCGCCGATCTCCCTGTCCACGGGCCCTCTCGGAGCCGCCCCCGACAAGAGCCCCCCCCCGCCCCCATCGAACGCCAACAACTTGTCGATCTGCCACGAGAGAGCGTGACCCAGCGTCGTGTCCCTGTGGGGCGCCATCGAAGCGACGGCCGCGGGGGCATCGCCGTTCGCCGCCTTCAGCACCGGGCAGCGGAAGTACGGGGCGGACCGACCGATCTTCATCGCCGAGAGGCCTGGCTCCATGATCCCCGCGTTGTAGAAGTCCCCCATCGCGTAGCGGAGCTCGATGTGATCGGGGTAGCCACCTTGGCCGAAATGCCAGCTCGCCACGCGCAGGATGGCCGCCATCGCGACGCGGGCGCGCGGCGGGCCCCGTCCTTTGCAGTTCAAGTCTCCGCCCTCGCGGGCGGTCTTCTTCATCTCCAAGCTTGTCTTGTTGTAGGCCACGCCTGCCGATCGGCTCGCCGCTGCCACTCCTTTCGTCGAATGTGGCATCTCGTAGCGGAGCTAGACCGCGCCCTTCAGGTCCGAGGCCTCGCGCGCGATCATCACGGCGAGCCTAGCGTTGGCGATGCCGAGCTTGTTGCCGCTGCCTGCGCCAGCGGAGCCCGCCTTTCTCGTCGGGCTTCTCCCCCCAGTGCTTCTTGTCTGCCTCCGCGTCGTCGGCCTCCGCGCCCCGCCTAGTCTTGCCACCGCTGAACCACGAGTGTGGCGCCGCGGGCGCCTCCATGGCTGCGCCCTTCCCGCTGCCGTCGCCCATCGTCAAGCGGACGAGGTCGCAAAGGTAAATGCGTGCAGAGGTGTTCTCGAGCCGTCGAACTCACGCGCAGGACAGGCATGCGCGCCGACAGGTGCAATGCCCCGAAGCGCACAGGCCCCACCGCGCAGCGGCGCCCTCGAAACATAGACACCAGAGCGAGCTTAGCAGCGTTAGCACGACAAGCAAATACCTGACGAGAGTGCCCACATACATTGGCAGGAGTAAGTGCGTTGCAGATGTTGCGCAGCCCATGGCTCCCCCCCGCGGCGGCCCATGAGGTTGCGACGCGCACCTAAGCAGGCGTCGCGAAACACGTTTCCGTTTCCCTCCTGGGGGAGCCAGCACTTCCACCGATGGTCAGCGCCCTGAACTCCCACCCCGACCCCTGGCTCGGGCGGCGCAGGCGGGGCATTCTCGGGGCGCGGGATGTCGACGGCGCGCTGCCTCGATCTGCAAGCTGAGGCATTCGCCGAAGCAAAAAAGAAGCAGTCGCTTCATCCATGAGCGACCTGAGATCCCGAGCCAAGGTAGCGAACGCCTCTTCATCCAGGACGCTCGCCATACTGAGGAGGTCTTCTCGCGCCTGATGATTCCAGGGGCGTGCGCGGGGACTGGGGTCACCAGGAGGAAGAAGACCCTCCTGCTCGAGTGGCAGAGCACCGAAGAGGGCCCCGAGGGCCTGGAGGCGGCGGGCGGGCCGCCCGGCCCAGCTCCGGACGAGGCGAACTCGACGCGTCCGAAATTCGGGAGACGGGCGTCCTCGGGTGCCCTGGGGGGGAAGGGGGAGGAGGAGGAGGAGGAGGAGGAGGAGGAGGAGGAGGAGGAGGAGGAGGAGGAGGAGGAGGGGGAGGAGGAGCGAACGACGCGCTGAGGGGGGCGCGAGTCCGCGGGTTAGAGGCGCAGCGGGCCCGCCCCGCCCACGAGGCACCGAGGCAGCCTCAGGACGCGACGAACGGCAGCGACCACGTCCTTGTGGTACTTGAGCTCGTCGTGGATGGCGGGAGTGCCCATCTCTGTGTGCGCCCGCAGGATGTTGTGGGTGCGATAGGCCACGGCCATGCGTGTGATGGTGTGCCTTGGGATGTCGTCGATGCTGTTGCTCTCGTGGAGTCCGAGTCGAGTGGGGACATCACCGGCAGGTTGTCCCCGAGGTTGGGCCAGTAGTGACCACATTCGTGGGCATGTAATGTAGTGGCTGATGTCGTCCGTGTTCTTGAACTGCGAGTCTTTGTCGCAGCCGAACAAGCAGTTCTTCCTGTGGGGATTGATGCGCATGCGGTGCGATGTCGCCCACGCCCCAGACAAGGTCTTGACCACGGGCCAGAAGAGCGAGGCCGTGGAGTTCGCCAAGTGGGGCCGCAGGTCGCGCCAGCTGCGCTCAACACTCGCAGGGAGAGCAGCTCGGCCAAGAAGGAGGAGGAGGAGGAGGACGAGGCGAAATCCGCACAAGCAGCGATCTGTTCGACATTGCGCGCGGGCGATCCCCGCTCCAGTCCGCTGCCTGACCGGCGCAGCCTCCGGCCGCGCGCGCTCTCGCTCAGATAGGGCAAAGGCGCCCCAAGCCACTGGGAAGTGCATTGCGGGCGAAAGCCCACAACAATAAGCGCGTGAGTTCCCATGGGGGCTCCAGTTACCTGACCGAACCCAGCGAACGAAAAGATATCCAGGAAGCGGCGACCTGTCGATCAATGTCGTGGTTTGCGCTCTCCAAGAGCCACGCGGGGGCCCAGGTAACGAACTGGTTCCCGCGCTGGGCTCCCGAAGCCCACTGGCTGTGTTGAGGCCAGCTTAAGATGCGCGCTGCGCCCACCGAAGCACGCGCTAATTTCCTGCTCAGACACGTCACGGCCGAACCCACAGGGCTCCAAGTCTAGAGCTCAAATGCTGAATCTTCGGCGCGATCTGGGGCAGGGTCGAGCCGAAGTCTGCCAAAACAAAGTTACGAACATCATCGGCGTATTTAAAGTAGCTGAAATCGACGTTCGGCTCTGCCCAACTCGCAATCCGCTCGTGACTGCGCCGATCAGAATTCTGCGCGCTGCTGCGCCACTCCGCCACAGGTGGCTGGAAGGTGCCGTTGAAGGCTTGCGCGGTAAGAGGATCTCACATGAGCCCCCCCCTGCCAAGGTTTTACAGCAAGCCCCCCATCCCCACCCCAGCAGGCAAAGCGACCACGGCCTCGCGATATCTGGGGCGGCAAAGACGATAATCATCAGGCGCTACATATTCGCGCGCAGCAGCGTCCATGCGCGGCCTCGGGCCGTTGCCTTCCCAGGAACTGGAAGAATATGAACCGCTCTCTTGCCCATCGGGCCGCTCTCGTGGCTCATGTGGAGGAGGGCTCGAGACTGCAATTCCAGCGCTTGAATGCCAGTGTATATGCGCGCGCCCTCTGCAAGCCAATGCTCAATCAAAACCCAAAAGCCTTCGTGTCTGGGGCCTGCGAGGGAGCTCCAATCAGGATACCTGGCCATGGGCGGCAGTTCAAGAAGCGCGCAATATCCTGGCGCCGTTCGTCTCTTGGGGGGCCGAACGCATATACT